TTTTTGCAGTACGCGGGCCTCTCACTGTTGTGGCCTCTCCCGTTGCGGAGCACAGGCTCTGGACGCGCAGGCTCAGTGGCCATGGCTCACGGGCCCAGCCGCTCCGCGGCATGTGGGATCTTCCCGGACCGGGGCACGAACCCGTGTCCCCTGCATCGGCAGGCGGACTCTCAACCACCGCGCCACCAGGGAAGCCCCAATAATGACATATTTTGGTTAGCTTTATACTTGGGCCAAGAATACAATTCCCCTGCCCACTTTCCTAATGTAGTATTTTCCCCCCTCATATTATTTGCCATTATCATACCCTAATTAAAAAAAATTCCCTTTCATATCTTTTCTGTTGGATATATTATTCTTTATGCGCTTGTTGAAGACTTTTATTTTGCAGGCCTTTGTCCTCCTGCTGCAAACCACACTGCCTGCTCTCTAGGCCTGGGAACAGAGCCTGCGTTTTAACTGATTTCTTGGGGTTGCTCCTGTTTTATAAACCCTCTATCTTGCTGTTTTTTAAATTTAAGTTTTTGTTTTGCTGGAGTTTACAAGTAATTTCCTAGGAAAGGATGTAGGGAATGTAAAATTTGTGAATCCTTGCATATCTGAAAATTCAGCCCTCCAACCCCTCTTTTGGGGTTAGTTTATATGGGTATAGAATTCTGTGTCAGAATTTTGAATGTATTGTTCTATTAATATCAGTTAATTAGCATCAGTATATTGTAATATCTGTTGTTGCTGATGAGAAGTTTGAAGGGAACTTGATTCTTTTCTCTTTGTTGGTGACCTTTTTCCTGTGGAAACTTCCAGGATTTTTTTCTTTATCCTTGGTATACTAAAAAATCACAGTTTGATGCATCTACAAGTGAGACTTTTTTCACTCATTTTTGTGTTCAGGTCCTCTGAGAAGCAGATTCTAAGATGTAATTAGACATATAAAGAGATTTATTTAGGGAGAACACCTGTGAAGGATTAAGGGGTGAGAATGCAGGATGAGGTGGAGAAAACCTTCAGACTGTGGTTCAGATTGACGTCTGTGAAAAGAGAGAAGGGCAGGAAGGAAGGTTGGGTAGCAAGAGCCTCAGATTACAGTGCAGCTCTGAGAAAGCCCGAGCTGGGGCAGTGGCAGTCCCCAGGGCAGAGACGGCCTATTAGAAGGGTTCCTCATTGGGTAGGAATGGTCTGCTCTAGTACCCCTGTGTGTTCTTCCTTGCCAGAAGCAGACACCAGGGAGGACCTGGGCTTGGCATGAATGCTGAAGCTGCATTGGCCAGAGGCTGTCAGCTAACTAGACTCTTCACAGCAATCTCTCCCCTGGGGGCATATTTGACTTGTGCACTCCTGGCTCCCACATTGTTAGGCATGTAAACTCTGAAGACTCATGTCTCACATCCTAAAACTCTGGGAAATTCTTTATCTTTGGTAAATTCCTTTTCTCTCATAATTTTCCTCTCTCTCTCTTTCCTTTTTTTTGTTCTGGAAAATTTTCTTAACTGTGTATTCCACTCATTTAAAATTTTTGTTTCCACCAATTATGTTTAATCTTTAAGAGCATTTTTTATTATACTTCTTTCCTTTTTCTTAGATTCTGTCCTTTTTGTAAGGATCTAATATCTTGAATTTCTCCATAGTAAATTAGAGGTTTCTAAAAGCGCTCTTTTGAATTATCTGTTTTCTCTGACGTTAATAATTTTGTTTGCTTTTCTTGGCCTTTCTCTCCTTATATGCCTCATAAAGTTGTCCATGTTTAATAAAGATGAACTGATCAGCTGATTGTAGTTTAAACCTTTTTGTATGTAAGAAAGACGGTTTTCTTGTTAGATCTCTTTCTTGAGTGAGGATTCAGACTGGGAGATCTTTGTGTGGAGGCAGGCAGGAGTGGAGACAGGGCATCTGTGACTGACGAGCTTTGTCTTAGGATGAGCAGGTAGGGATCTGGCTGACTGTGTGTAGGCCCTCCAGATACCAGAATTAGAAGGGCTTCATCTAGGACACCGCCATTCACACTAGATGCTCTTGCTTGTTCCAGATAGTTTAGTATCTTTAGGGAATATCTATACATTATTTTAGCTGGAGCCAAATCTTGGCTTACTACCTTGTGCTTGGGGTTGTGTCAGGGGAATGGCGGTAGCAACTATTAGTTATCTGTATACAGATTTTCAGCTAATCTCCCTGTTTTCACACTCATGCCTCGGTTCTATACATAGTATATGGACTGGCTCTGAGCCCAGCTTCAGGTTCTATCAGGCAGGCTGACTCCCAGCCCCTGATAACATCAGGACAGCATCTGAAGGGATAGTTAAAGGGATAAGGCAACATTCAAGATATTGAACGGAGCATTATTTTGGACTGATATGCAATAGGCTTGGACATTTCAAGAAAGAATGCTTCCTGGTCCTGGCTGGATAACTTTCCCCTCTGTATAATATTTTAAATAGAAAAGTAAAATGTGGTCCTATAAGAAAAGTTAGAAAATGTTCAAAAGCCGAATAAAAAACAATCATCCAGGGTCATCACCAAAACAAAATCATTTTTTGCATTTATGTTGTAGTTTGTCAGGCCTTTTATCCTTCAAGTATCTTTTGTATTGTTGTAATTATGTCTATAATTTT